CTATAAGTGCAATCTTGCATTATTGTATGATTCCCAACTATCTGAGCCCTGCAATCTGTTCAGTTCTCAAATTATGGAAATTTATGACCCAACTAACCAAACAGCAAGGACATTCACCTCTCAGCTCAGTAAGAAACATTCTTTTAAAAATCCTGTAACTAATCTTTAATTTTTAATATTTATATTATGACTAGAAAACTATCAGAAGCTTATAATAACTACAACCAAACATTGCTTATAGAAGGTTCTGAACATCAATCGTTCATACTCTGCATTTTACTCAGACGCATTGTTCAATGTGATTAATTGACAGAAGACTGGGCACAGGAGTGCAGCCTTAAGTTTCAAATGAGTGATCTGGCCTAGGATCCTTGCATACATACAGAGCCAAACTCATGCCCAGTTATATCTGATGAAAACTTGCAGTGAGCCTGCACGATCTAAGGTTTGGGATTATACTCCTAGTTTGTATAAAAGTTGCCAATCAATATATTTTATTAGAGCAACCAGTTCGCATGCATTGTTGTTCAACGAATGTATGGATTTCAAAACCTTATTCAAGCTGGCCATTTTTTTTCTTGACCACTTGATGCATCATGATTTAAAACCAGTTTACTCTAAAAAGTTGACTATATATCAGTCATTACCATACATGCTTCTTCTTTTATGTACCCTCACAAAGCAAAGCTATTGATTTCAACTCTTCCTCATGCCATGAGTACTACTATTCACAAATTTCTAAGGACAGCAATCCATGGCATCCATGAATGCAAATAAAAGGCAACAAGAAGAAAGTACCTTCCTTGTGCCAAGTGCCACTGTAAAATGCAAGAAACTTTCCAACAGGTGAAGTCAGTGCATGAAAAAAGAAAACATACTACTCTATTGTTTGGAGGGCTATTTGGAGGTAAATGCACATCAAATGTAGATTTTAAAAGAAAGAAACCTGTAATTTCCCTGTTACTGTAAATGCTAAATAGCACATCCAAATAGCTGCATATAAGAAAATAAAAACAAAATATTCAGGAACTGAGCATGCTGCTTTGTGGAAGTTTTCTGTAGAGGCCAGCACTCCCACAATAATCCACTAAGAAGATTAAACACCAAAATAAGAGAATTTCCAGCTTCTCACTCATTAAATCCTCTGGCAGCAGCGGGGGGGGGGGGCGTTCTTCCACAGCTCTTTTGAGCATTCTGCAGTATTCCGTGCGCCAAACAGAAAACACACAGTCAGAAGTTGCTGCAGGTTTTGCTGCCACTAAAGGGCAGGGTATAAAATTAAATTTTAATTTGTAAAATTAAAAACAACACACAAGTATTTCCTTATCAGTTTCATTTTCAGTCTTCCCATTTCCCTCACAACAACACACACCCCTTCTGACTGTCTGTGGCATTCTCATTTCCTCCTAGCACAAGGGAAAAAGTATTTGCTTAGTCGTTTGCAAGGGCAAATCCCATCATCTCACTAGATGGACTTCATTCCACCATGCCTTCAATATACTCCAGCCTTTAAGGTTGAAACAGCAGGAGGGGGGCATTCCTTATCAACATGCTTGCTATCCAGTCAAAGTTGTGGGTTTGGCCAGTCCTGTAACCTACATACAAGAAGCACAGAAGCCACACATGCACAATCGTCCAGTCAAATCCCCTCCAACTTGCAGTGAGCCTGCATGATCTGCCACTGCTGCCGTTCCCCCTTCTCCCTCCCGCATTATCAACACCACCACAAGCCAGACAGGCTGCACGAGAAGATAAGTCTTCCCAGCGCCGAGAAGAAACTCCAGCCTCTCGACCCAACCTCTCCCACCAAGCGTCTGTCTCTCTCTGTCCCCAGACACAAGCGCACACCCATTCGCCTGTCTCTCCCTCCCTCTGAATTCGGTCTTTCAAGAAGCCAAGCCAAGCCAAGCCAAGCCCGGGCAAACCGCTCTTTCTCTCCTCCAAGAATTCCCCTCCCGCCTCCGATCCCCTTGCCTGACCCTGGTCGGCTGCCGGGCCGCTCTCTCTGCCTGAGGGTCGGGAGTGGGGGGGAGGGAAAGGACGGGGAGGCGGGTTAAGCGAATGAAAGGCAGAGAGACGTACCGCAGACTGAAACCTCGGCTCCTCTTCCTGCAATAAGAGGGAGACAGAGAGAGACACACGCGTTACTGTCAGCGCCGCTCAGCCCCGCCCGCCGCCGCCTCCTGACACGCACCGACCGACCCGGGGAGGAGTGGGGGATGAGCCCGAGGAAGGGAGACGGGACAGGGCCGGCGAGGCCGAGGGAGGTGGAGGAGGCGGAGAAGCGCGAGACTCACGTCGCTCTCCACCTCGATGTCATCGTTATCGCTCATGCTGCCGATGGTGCCGTCGCCCGGCCGAGCCGCTCCGAGGCCTTCCTGGCAGGCGCTGCGGGTCGAGCCGCGGAGAGCGACAACAACAGCCCCCGCGCAGCTCAGCCAGAGCAGCCTCCGCCTCCTCCTTCTCCTCCGTCGTCGTCTTCGCCGTCGTCTCCTCCTCCTTCACCAGCATCAACGGCACACGCACCTCGTACCGCACGTGACGGCTGACCCCACACCGTCCGCTCGCTCTCACGTCTGCCGCTCGCCCCGCGCAGCATGCCGGGGGATGTAGTCCAGTGTGGCGCAGGGCACTGACGAGAGGACTCGTCTACGGACTACGATTCCCGGCGGCCCCTAAAGAGCGCCGGTCCTTTGAGGTCACTACCTGCACTTGCGCAGTACTGCCCCAGTCCATTATGGGGGGTGTAGTCCCTAAGAAAGAGGAAGGGCTCTGTTTCCCGGCAGCCTGAGGAGAGGACACGTGGATGGGAGGAGAGAGTATGTTGTTTAAGTGTCTCCCTTTTTCTTCTCTGTCCGCCTCGCCCTCCCGCTCTCCTCCTTTCGACTTTCTGTTTCCTCAAAGAAACTTATACCTTAGGCAGAAAAATGTTTGCGCTATTAAAGCTTTTCTGCTATTTTTTTTCTATGCAGGAGTATAGACAGGAGCCAGATACTAAAAATAGCAACACTCAGAACGTGTTAGTTTCCATTCATATTCTGTAACAAATTGTAACAAAAAGGTTTCAAAGTGTGATCCCAGCATAAACTTACAGAACTGAAAGTCATTTGCAGATCTGATGCTTGCTTTCAGGGATAGCAGCTAGATAGTTTTAGACCCTAGACTTAATGGTTTTATGGACAGGGAGAGACACCTTTAGATGGTTATGAAGGACACAGCTAACATTTCTTCTGCTTCCTCCAACCGCCATTCCATGTTTAAAACTGGTTCTACATCTCAGGTAGATAGATAGCAACAAATATACAACCCTGACTGAAAAAAAAATACTGAGCATATTCAACACACATCATAGGGTCATCATGGCTACCAGAATAAGAGGGTTTTCCTCTACACCCACCACTCAGGGTGATCATTTAGGGCCCTCTTAGATTCCAGGACCCTGTACTTTAGGTCCAAGGACCAGTATTCACTGCATCACTGGTTGGGCTCAGTACCCTGGGAATGGTTACCAGCTCACTGCAGGATAGCTGATACTCCCACGACATTGTCAGTAACTTTAAGGGTAGCCATTCTTGAGCCGAGACCTTTCAAAGAGAGATACAAGTGTGACATTTCATCTGTACAATTCATTGAGAAATACAAACACACTTGTGGTTGGAATAGGGTGTTTTGGTTTGGTTTTTAGTCACGCTGTGTACTTTAATCTCACCACTTCAATGATTTGTGTGTGTTACCACTCAGCAAGATGGCAAGTGTTAAGGTAATTATCACTGTCTTTAGGTTTTGTATTTCAGTCCCTTCTGACAACATTGAACTTTCTGCCCTCCATCCCCAGCATGGATATATAAGTCTGCCAATTTGAGTTTACCACTTGATGCATCTGATGAAATAGACAGTGCCTATGAAGGCTTACAAGAAAAGGAGGACAGGGGAGCCTGGAGGACTAAACAACAGGTGTCACAAGATGCTGCTGTTGAAACGATACAGCAGCAGAGATAAGTATGGTGCCATGTGTGCTTAGCTGTAAGACAAAGGTTAGTTAGGGCAGAACACAAAGGACCGGTCTCTTTTGCATCTTACTCCCCCTTAGGCAGGAAGTGCTTTATCTCTTTAGGGATACAGAGTAAGATTGAGATGCAACAGGAATATTTGCTGTTTAGATACTATTGGGTTAAAAGCTTGTGCCTGCTCTATACTTTCTGTTGAATATACTTTCCATTCAAAGTGTTGTCTGAGTTTGTGTGAATGCAAACCAGGGCTTGTTCTCTCTGGCTGCAGGCATAAACCCCAGGAAAAGGTCCCAAACATTTCAAGGAAATCTGGAGGGCAAGTGCCTCCTTTGGAGGTGTGTTGTGCCCCAAGATTACCTGGTGTAACAGCAGGCAATTATTATGATCTGGAGGGCCACACATTCCACATTGCAACAGAGCTTCCCTGCTAGGCATGGATATAAAGTGGAAGACTCCTGTTACTGACATGTCTTAGCCCCACCGCTGCCCCTTTCAGTGGGTAGCCATCTCCTGCTTGGCAGTTTACGGCCATACAGGCTGACTCCAATGCACATCCTCTAATTCCCGTTGACTAATGGGACTTACTCCCTGCTGTGTACCATGGCAAGAGAACAGGCCTTTTCAGTTGTGGCTCCCTATTTATGAAAAGAACTTCCCAAAGAGGTTTCCTGGTGCTCATCTTTTCGCCCAGGCATTTTAAAAGGCTTACTTCAAAAATGTTATAGTTGTTTTATCAATTCTGTTTATTGAATTGATAAAGTTTATTGATAAACTTGATAAAATAATTTATCAAGTTCTGTTTATTGTTTTGTATTATATTGTATTTATTCTTTTAAGCATCTGAATTGAATTATATTATTTGAACAGTTCTGTGGCATTTTCATTTGCAACTGTTAGTAATCCACCCAGTCAACATTAGTTATTGGGTAGATTAGAAAAATAATAAAAACAAGAGTGCAGCCTTAGAGTGTTTCAAGATAAGTCAGTTAATGTGCAATTGTACTCCAGAATTTTATTGGGGGTCCAGATAGCATCTATTTGTAACCCTTCCATGTTTTCCAACCACTTCTTTTTACCTAATTAAAAAAATCAAGGAGGGAAAGACTGAATAGCTGCATGGAGTCATTTGACTGATAATGCTAGCAGCTTTCTCTTAAGAAGCACCCCTTAGGCTCACCTGCACAGCTGATATCCAAGACATACCCTCTGCCCAACCATTTTCATTTTGCCCCAACACACTTTTTAGAACATTGCTTTACAAGTCCTGCTACTGAACAGGCAATCGTATTTAAGCAACAGCTTTAGGACAAATAACTTTAAAAAGACATCTTTTAATAGCTTCTTAGCTGAACTGTCTCTTCCTTGCCCACAAAGTGCCATCATGCCTGCTAATGTGAATGAACCGTAATGAGATGCCCACACAGACAAAACTCAGTACTGCCTGTAGTATGGAAGATGCAATTCTGCCTGTAGCTCACAATCGAACCAGTGAATGGTAGTATTGGGAGCTGTCCATCTGCAAACACTCCCAGCCACTGGGCCCTACTAACAATGGCCTCTGAGCTCCCTCCAACACTGGTACAATTTACCAACATAAACTGAAAACATGGTTTTGTTTTTGCTGATTATGTGAAGCTAGCTAACTGAACATTGTGCCCTCCAAATATATTTGACTACAATGCCCACAATTTCCATGGCCACACTGGCTGGGAATGTGGACAGGTAAGAGTCCAACTCATCTGACAGCACTCATTGGAGGAAAGCTACATTGGGGACACTGGGCATTAAATGAACTGGACCTACCTTGGCTGAAGGGAAGGTATGTGCAGCCTGCTTCTGCGAGGGAAAAGAAGCAACAATAGGGCCAGTCTTGGCTGCCCACAGCAGCTGAACCACAGCAAAAATAAACATAAAAATGCACTGAACCCTTATTGCCAGTTCTTTCAAAAGAACAAGAGAAGGCCCGTGCACTCCTCCCTCTCCTTTCCACCCCCAGAGGGTTAGATCTGAAAGCCCTGTATCCATCTGTCACAACCCATTTGTCCTATGTACAAAGTGCTTGTGTCCCTGCTAGCTCTCACAGTTAGGAAGTGGAAGTTAAGTACGGAAGATTGTGAAACCTTTGTCAGCGAATGCTCCTTTGAACCTCTCCTAGGCAGACCATGGGCCAAAGAGTGCCTAAATACAGGGTGGCGAGGAAAACAGATGGCTCATGCAGTCTGTGTTCCTCAGGCAAAGTGGAAACATGATAGGACCAGTGCTGAAAAGGGATTTGCGTGATGAGGAAGGCTGGCATCAGTGGCAGTCGAGAGTCATGGCACCGTCAAGACTGCCCACCTTGGCTTGGCACACAAAGAGGGGCCAGGGCAGGAGTTAGCCCACATTATCCCCAGCCTCCTCCGCTAGGGCCTGCCCGTGGGCACGTCTGTTCCTCTGCGGAGGCAGGCCCTCCAGGTCATCGGCTTCTTCTCCTTCTGCCTCTTCCTCCAAGGAGCTGCTTTGCTCCTCCTCCCTCTCTGAGCCAGTCTCATCAGAGTCGTCGTCTCCCAGGTAGCGGTAGCCTCGCACCTTGTGGCGCGGCTTGGGAATTTTGGGGAGGCGATGTGGGATGAGCTGGGCTACTTTGCGTTCCATCCAAAGGTAGGACAATACTGCAGCTACCAGTGTAACGAGGAGGACAGACAACTTCGCCTGGAAGTAAAACGCAAACAAACAAGCACCCCAACATTAGGTAAGTGAGAAAATAAAAGACAGAACAAAGAAATACATAAGAAAAGTAACATAATGGAAAGAAGAAAAAGAAAAGAAAAAATGATGTGAGGAAGAAATAGTAACAGAAACAGAAGAGGAAAAAGAAGACATAAAAAGGGCAAGGTAATTTCCTCCCTACTCTGTTCTGGAAATGCAGCCTAGGAAAGGGAGAACTGTCATCAAGGCAAAATGTGGAACTAGTTAAATGGCATCCCAGTACTTTCTCTGGCCTCATGACTTCAGGTTCACACCAGTACTAACCTTAGTTTTCTCCTCCTTTTATCCCAGGGCCAAGTGAACTCTCCTCCTCTCAGACGCATCTTAATAGCATCATTGCTTTCTCCCAAAAACCCAGAGTGCGTAGCCTGCCCTTAAGCATGTGAGCATCCCCTCTTGTCCTTGCTTACTTTCATGGGCCTTTGCTTACCTTCATGGGCAGTTCAGACCACAGGTAAACCACAAAGATGGCCAAGGCTTGCCACCAGTGGTAGACAGTGAAGATGAAGTCCTGCCTCTCCTTGTCTTCATAAAGCATCCCCAGGAGTGCTGCACCAAAAGAGGAGAAGGCACTGTGAGACACTCAAGCTGGATTCGCTCTCTCTTGCTCTCATTGCTGGCTCGGAGCAGACAGGTTGGAAAAGGTTATCAGAGGGGAGTGGTGGAAGGATGAAGCTCACAAAACAGAACCCCCAAATGTATATAAACAAAGCAGAAAGGTCTCCTTGTCTTGCTTTGCTAGTGATCAACGATGCAGTTGAGGGAGAAGACGTTATAAAAAAGTCACTTGGGTACTTAACTTCAAGTCTTCTTTCATATCATCTGAGGGAAATGGGTTATCATGACTACTCCTGAGCTTGACTTGATGTAACTCCTAGTCCAACTTTTCCCGACCTAGCGCCCCCTGTATGCTTTGGTCTACAACTCCCACCAGCCCCAGTCAGCATGGCCAATGGCCAAGAAAATTTAGAGGGCACAAGGTTGAGTAAGGAGACGAGAAAGAGATGTCTGTGCACCAGGTGTTCAGCATGAAGCAGACTGAGAACAGAGCTCCACCTGTAACAGGAGAGGAGAGGGCTCAACTTTAGACACAACTGGACGCTATTCCACTCACCACTGAGGCCTGTCTTGTTGAGGGCACTGCCCAGGCCCCAGAGGGCAGCCACTAGGTACAGAAAGGATGCTTCTGCTAAGTCATGGGCATGGGGCTCCCAGCAGAAGAGGGCAATCAAGAGGATGGCATGGACAGAAGCTCCAGCAAGCAGGGGAACCTGGCGAGGCAGACACAGCATCAAAAGCACGAGTATGGAGCAGAGCGCCGAGGAGAGTCCATAAGAGGTGAGGATATAAGCCATGTGTTCCAGGCCGATGGAGCAGACGCCATAGTTCTGGAATGGGCAGAGAAAGGAAGCTCTAGTTAGCATGGTCTTGGTTTTTGGACTGAAAGCTCTGTTTTAGACTGGGGGAATCCTGAGGATTGATATATCTTTACATCAGCAGAACTTTAACAAAATATCCCAAGATATCCTGATTAACAAACTAGCTAAAAGTGGGCTAGATCAAGTAACTACCAGGTGGCTACAGCAACGAATTCAAGGAGTGTCTATCACTGGCACTTTCTCAAACTGGGGAAAAGTAAACAAGTGGGCTTAATTCCTGGCCCAGTGCTCTTCCGCGTTTTCATTAATGATCTGGATAATGAGTGGGAAAGAATGCTTACCACATTTCTAGATGAGACTAAGTTGGGTGGGGTTAGCTAATACTTTCGAAAACAGAAGCAACATTCAAAATGTTCTTGATAGGTGGAGCATTAGGCTGAAAACAACAGAATGAAATTTTATAGGGATAAGTGCCATGTTCTTATCCCTATAAGAAACCAAAAGCATAGCTACAATATGGGAAGGATCTTGGGATTGCTGTAGATCACAAAATGAATATAAGTTTGCAAGGTGATATGGCTGCAAAAATGCAAAGGTTATTTTGGGTTGCATTTATAAAGATTTAACTTGTAAATCATATGAAGTACTAGTTATATTCAGCACTGGTTAGGCCTCATCCTGAATAATGCATCCATTTCTGGGCCCCAGAGTTGAAGAAAGATGCAAAAAAGTGGAAAAGTTTGAAAGGAGTGCATCAAAGATGTTCAGGGGATTGGAAACAAAGCTCCTTGAGGAGAAACTGAAAGAATTGGGCAACTTTAGCCTTGAAACTAAAGGGAGTAAGATAGCCTCTTCCAGTACTTGGAAGGTTGCTGCACAGAGGACCAGAATCTCTTCTTAATTATCCCAGACTGTGGGAGACAGAATAATGGGCTCAAATTACAGGAAGGCAGATTCTGGCTGGACATACGGAAAAACCTTCCTAACAGAGCAATACAACAATGGAAGAAATTAAACAACATTGGAACTACCTGGAGGCATTCAAGATGCAGCTGGACAGCTGTCTGTTAGGGATGCTTTGAGTCCTGCACCGAGCAGGGGATTGGATCTGATGGCCGTATAGGCCCCTTTCAACTCTACTATTCTATAACTATGATTCTAACCTGGTGGCATGCTAGTCCCCACTCCTCCCAACCGGGGGGGGGGGGGGGACACATACCAAGGTAAAGCCGGTGCAGAGGAAGACCACTTCAAAGCCACTGTAGATAAAGAAGAGGATGAGGTGACGCAGACGGTAGTCTCTCATGTGCTTGAATGGCAGCTGGAAGATGCTGCCCCAGCCAATGCTGCGTAAATCAATCTCTTCCGTGGGGCGGTAGGCTGAGCCACACAGAATCAACACCTGCAGGAGCAGAAAGCTACACTGAGGCATCACAAACAGGACCAAGGTGGGCCTCTCAACTTCCTTCCCCAACCAAAGGCCTCTCCCTGCAATGTTCAAGGGAAACACCCAGATGATGACTCCATGTTGGACGGGCCTGCCTAATAACACAACACAAGCCTGCCCTTTTCACATTGGGCTTCATCCTGTCTCTTGAGAGGACAAGCAGGAAAGGCATCATCCTGCCCCCAACTTCGCAACATGTTTTATTCACCTATTTTATTAATTCATTTCAGAGCTCTATACCACTTTCCAGTGAACTCTTGAGCAATTAACATAATATAACCATTAAAATATTACAATACAATCATCACTGGGCAACAATAAAGCTATTAACTATATTATAGTGGATGTCTTGGAGAGGCACGTGCCCTCCCTGGATTCAACATTTCTTATTCTGGCTAAATTTAATGTTAGACTTGAATGATAGAGGCTGATATGCCAAGAGAACTTTAGCCATACTGAATGATTTTCCTCTAAATAAATAAAAGAAAATCCTGGTAACCTTTGAAAGCGCAAAAAATCATTGCCTTAATTCTTAATAATAGAAAGCTATTTGTGTGTTATGGAATTGTCCCTACTTGTTTTTATGTGAGTAAGATTTAAAAAACCCTCTTCTAGAGTTATACAGTGATACAGGTGCAGGGAGATACAGCCTGTAGTTGTGTGAAGGTTCTTATTGACCTGGAGAATCCATTCAGTAGATCCCAAACCTACTGAAGATATCCTAGAGAAGTAGGGAATGCAGTTAACTAACAGAAGCTGAAGATTTCTCAGCTGACAAAGTGTTATTGGAGTCATCTGATGCTCTACCCCATATGAAACAGAGACTTATCCCTAGGAAAATATTCTGCAATGGGAACTGATAGAAAGGAATCATTTTAGGAAGGGTGGTTGCTTGAATTTGGCAGCCCCAAATTGTAGAGGATGCCTTTTTGCCAATTCCATCAAAGAGGAAAAAAATACAGACGATTGTCAAGGTCTGGATTAAGCATAGTAGTAATATAGTATACATTAGCTTTCATGGAGGTGCCATTTAAATACAGCATTGGTTCCACCGGCCCAGTTGTATCCTTCACACTGCTCACCATCTGCAGGAAACCATTGGAGGAGGTGTGGGCTGAGGTGCAATCAATATGCAGATATCCCAGCTCAGTCTTTTTTTTTTTCCATCCAATCCAAGCAGAAGCTGTTCTGAATCAGCGCCTGGGATTTTCCAAGGAATTTTCCCAGGAATTCTAATCTTTTAGTCTCTGTTGTTTTCAGTCTTTTGTTGTTTTTATGGGTCATCAAGTCATCTCCCACTTAAGGCAACCCTATGAATGCATGCCCTAAAAGCCTCGCTCAGCTTTTATGCTTAGCTTTTACAGACGCAAGGCTGTGGCTTCCTTCATCAAATTGATCCGTCTCCTACTTAGTCCTTAGTGGATCAGTCCATCTCCTCTTATTCTTCCTCGCCTGCTTTCCTAGCATGATTGGCTCCTCCACTGAGTCCTGCCTTCTCATGATGTGCCTAAAGGATGACGGCCTCTGCTGTGTCAGTTTTGCTTTCAGAGAAAGTTCTGGCGTGATTTGATTTAGGATCCATATGTCTGTCTTTCTGTTGGTCCAAAGAATTCACAAAGTTCTCTTTCCAGCACCATGTTCTGATCGCATCCGTTTTATGTCGGCTTTCTGTACTGCCTGGTTCTCACACCCACACACAGTGACTAGGAATACAACAGTGTAGATGTCTTGGTCGCAAGTGAATTTTGAGTGGCATTACCCACACCAGGGGTTTCGCAGAGTCATTTTTTGCTACTGTGAAACCTTTTCCCCAATTTTATGATACTTTATTGCATTTGTATTGTTTGTTTTTATAAAATGCTGTCAATTGCCCAGATAGCTTCAGCTGCGAGGCAGTATAGAAATGAAATAACAGGAACAACAACAACAACGACAAATTTTAAATTTATCGCTGCTAGGTTTGACATCGTTTTTCATTTCTATTTCATACTGTAGTTTTAAGTCTTTACATTTTTGGAGCATATTTTCTGATTTTGAATCGTTGTGAATCGCCAAGAGAGCTTCAACCATTGGGCAGTACAGAAAATCTATTTAAATAAATAAATAAGTGACTATTCCTCTGCTCACGGGTGATTGGCACAAGATGGGAAGAAACATGGCCTGTGGAATGTACCACCTTCAGCACTGATTCACCAGGAGTGAAACCCCTGCCTTTATTATAGGCCCGAGTTTAAGCATGCCTTTGCCCTTCTTCCACCCGCTCATACCAGAAGCATGGAGAGGAAGGCCACTCCCATGAGCACGCTCTCCACCATGATGAGCTCACTGCTGCGCGGCAGCTTCTGTAGAACCGTCGTGTTGAACCCGGTGAGGATCCCATGGCTGCTGGTGCCTGGAGAGGAAGCAGAGCCTTAGAGATGATGGCCAATGGAGTGGCCCAGTTTGGAATACATCCCAAGGGGCAGGATGGCCCATGAGATGAAGCTACAATGAGGGAAAAGCCACATGCACCAGCCTGAAAGAATGATGGCCATCTTCTAGGATACTCACCGCAGTGTTGCACATGGAACAGGGTATGGTTCAAATCATAAAGATACTCCTTCAGGAAGAAAAACATAGGAAACTGGGCACAGATGAAGCTCAGCTGAAAAACAGGGATGAGAGAAGAGGTCAAACAAACCATTCATCAGTAGGAGAGAGAAGCCCAAGGAGGCTCTCCCTTCACCCCACTCGGCTTCTGATCTTCCTGCCAGCAGACAAGAAGGGATGGCAGGGATTCTGCTGCACTACCAAGACCCACAAAAGTTCTGTCTGCAGAGTTCTCACATAAAAGAAGCTATAGAAGACTGCCTGGAAGCCAATGATGTAGGCGTTGTAGGAACCATGTGGGGCCCGTTTCTGCTGCTGGACATGCTCTGCCTTATAGTTGGCATATTCGTAGTACTTCTGCGCCATCCTGTTGGGGTGAGGAGCACAAAAGAAGACTCCTGATGCCAGTGCCCGTCAGAAATGCGCAGCGGGCAACTATAACAAGTGCCTTGACATCAGGATCAAGCCTTTCAGATGAGCGCCTTTCCTCCTCCCACCCCAGTATCGATGGCCAGCTCACCGGGTGACATAGTTGCCCATGGAGGCCCACAGTGGTACAATGGCAGCCCCAATAGCCACAGCCGAAGGCACCAAGGTGTAGTAGCGCTCCCAGTAGTTGGTGGAGACAAACAGCGCGTAAATGCCCACCGCCAAGAACAGCATCCACTTGGTACCAAAGAATCTGGAAAGATGGAAAGAGACACCTGAATTCTGGGTTCTTATGACAATGGGGCCACTCAGTTGCTGTATTCCTCAGGGAGAAGGGTTCTGGGTTCTTCCCCTTTTCAGAGACAGACATTTTTGTTCAGGCCCCAGCTTATTCCTATTTCCAGAGAAGTATCAGGAACTCACCCCAGAAAGCAGGTACAGGGAACCTTAAACCAAATCTGGCTCTCAGGTGTTCCCCAGAAAGCCATTCCCCTTCTCTTGACTCCATCCCCTTTCCCCCAACTACTGACTAGTGGTTTTCCTGGCCTTTCCTGGCTTTTTTTGGTCCCCCATTCTTAAAGGTTGAAATATCTCTTATAAGATTTAGTTACTGTTTGTAGTGCTTTAAGCTAGAATAGGGTGGTAGCTTTCCATTTTCAGCCCTGGCATCTTTGCTTTCGACCCCATCCGCCATTCAAATACAGCCTCTGAGAGCCTCTCCAAAACAGAACTCAGCTCTGGGGCTGGAAGAGGTCTCCCCGGCCCTCTGGAAAGAGTGGATCAGCACATGGAAGAGCAAAGCAGTACCTGATGAGAATTGGGGTGTAGAACAGTGCAGCAATAGGTGTGACATTGATGCCCATCAGCATCTTGCTGTCAATGTTCTGCAGCTCCAGGTTGCTGTATTTCACCTCCCGGTAGGTCTCGTCATAGTGCAGGATGAGCTGCATCTGCAACAGGCCTATGGGAGACATGACAGAAATGCACGGGAAGCAGCTCAAGGCTTGATCGTGCCCTGCCTACTCCAAGCAAGGCCACTGCTTCCAAAAAGGGACCTCACTAGCTGAAGCGGCAAGATGTATGGATGCTCAGGCAGAGCCGACTCATGCAGGATCGGTCTGCCCGCTTGCTCCGAGGGGCTGCGCACCTCTGTGAAACCAAATCATCCTTCTGGATGGAAACAAGACTGTGTGAGTGAAAGCATAAATCACTAGTCTGAATATATCTTTAGACACCTAGACAGAGACCCAGCAATGGACAAAATGAACCAAAAGCACTTGGTGCTTCCTCTTGGACGAGGTCACCAGAACACTCTTATGAGGAGGTTACATGCTTAAATGCCCCCTCCCACATAGAAATATATGCACATTAAGTAATACAGGAAGCAATTCCATTCATTCCATGGCCTTTGGGTGGGGGAGGTTGGTGGACTGAACCCCTAAAAAAACACGCAAGCAAAATTAGCTATTTATCACCCCAAATGAAGGATTTGTGCATCTTCCATCGACAAAGCAGTGCTTTCCTTATTTTAAGAAGCAAAAGGTATATTCTATGCAGCAGATTTAACTTTACTGCAGCAAATAAACCCAGCTCTGCCACTGGTTTCACCTCCAGATTGTCAGCCTGAATTTAAAGAAGAAATAAACTTTCACCAAAGCTCTTTGAGCACTTTTGATTCAGAGTCATGGAAGAGGCATTGGTAGCAGCTAAGGAACTAGAAGAGCAGCCTTTTGCATCATGTCTGTACTGAAATAAGCAAAAGAGGTTCAAGTTAAAACAACAGACAGGAAAGCTGTTGGTTGTCAGCAGGCTGGACCAGCACCAGTGATAGAAAAGAGGACCGCCAAAAACAGGCAGGCAAGGCCCACCCAGGGCAGAACCTGGTATGACTAAGCCAGGCAGCCTCTCCTTCCTTACATAATCAGGTTTGTCCCTGTGGTTCAGAGCCTCCTTCCACAGGCAGTTTCCACTACTGTGCCTGCAAAATGTCCCATGCTGCACGGGTCCCTCTTTCACCCTTGAACGTGATCCTCTGAGCAGGCTAGAGCCTCCATATCCTGGAGCGGTGCCACAGATCATCTTCCATTGCCAAGCTCCAGTGGATCCTGGACCAGCTCTTCCTGCTTCTTCCATAACTCACTATGCCACCATGGAAGGGGGTTGAATCTCTTTCAACCAGAGGGCTGAATTCACTTTCAGAGGGGTTCTCAGGGGCCATATTCCTGTGATGGGTGATGCTGAAAGTAAAAATGGTAGGACTAAAATCCCCCCCCCCCCAAGTTCCAACATCTTTTAGCTGAAAGCTCTTATTGCCAGTAATGAAGCCTTAGGAAAGGCATTTTAACCTTTCAGAATGGAGAAAAACTTCACAGTTGAGAAACCACCCATAAAAATGTAGTCAAGGGGAAAGGAGATGGAGCAGAGGAAGAGCCACCTGGAAACCAAAGAGGGCCAAACTGAAGCCAGTTTTGGCTTCCAGGCCAGAGGTTCTGCACCTCTGCACTACAGCCAATGTTAGGTCCTGTCTCAAGTAGCTTAAAGCACAATCCTATGCAGGTTTATACAGAAAAATGGGACTTCTGTGGAGGTCACCAAACAGGCTGCCTTCTTCTATGGTTAGTCTTGCCAAAAAGGGCTCCACTCTGCACCTGCTTAGTGGAAATCCATTCTTTCCCCCATTTTCTTTCTTGTTTGCCTCCTGGCTAAGAGGTTAGTTGCCTGAATTACTGTGCTACAATCAGGGCAGTAAATTTTGCAGGCTAGTAACTGCTGTGAGCTTATTTACAAGGTTGCTTGATTTCATGTACAGGCATGGCTAGCCCTGTGGTGAGACAATGTTATGCAGACTAGCCTTTCATTCATTTTAGTTAAAATGATATTCAGGCTGCTTTTAAGGGCAGAACCTTCCACAGGTCAGTAGCAGCAGGAGATGCCGAAGGCAGCATAGGAAAAGCATACCTAGAAAGACGCCATAGGTCAGCATTCCTCCTAAGCTGGCTGCCAGAAGGTTTTTGATAACCCCAAGTCGCTTCCGGCGGAAGTATTTGCGTTCTTCCTCTTCTTCATTATACTCAGCATGAGCACCCACAAAGTCCTGCAACTGGAGACATGAGTGGATCGAGGGGTTACAAGGAGCCCCCTGCATGCCATGTTTCCCCGAGGGAGGGAAAGAGAAGTGTGCTAAGGCCAAAGAAGGTCACACTGCACTGTAATTGCTTCTCCGTGTGGGGAATTTAACCTGGTGCTTCATGAAGGGTTCGTTTGCTTTCTTGCAGGGGAAAGAGAGCATCATTTATACATGGGTTTCACCCAAAGTTTTGCTTTCTCTACCACCCTATGTGTTGTATTATAAAACCACAACATGGTGCTGCAGCATAGTGCAACTGCTAAAATACACAGGACTTTATTCCAGTTTGGCATGCCTTTGAAAGGTCCTCCTTCACTATCCTTAAGCTTTTAAAAAGTATCAGCAATGGCCACAAGCTGCAAGAGGATGGCGGTGCTGTGCAAAGGGCCCACCAGCCGTTCAAAGAATCGCACGTGCACAGTAAACACCTCAGGTGGACAAGCCTTGAGAACGCAGCTCTTCACTGCAGGACAGTTTCGACTATTGAGCTGCTTGGCTGTTGGAAATAAGCAGTATGCATGTGGATTTGGCTGCACATTTGCTGTCCTGCAACAGCAGGGGGCTGGACCTGATAGCCTTCATGGCCCCTTCCAACTCTGCTATTCTGTGATAAGTGTCTGCATGTGTGTGTGTGTTTTCGGCCTTTAGCATGGGAATTACATATTCAGGGGGCTTTAACCTCACATTTCCAAAAAACGCAAACCCTTGCCATTCTTTTCCTTTAGTACAGCCTTCCCCCACCTGGTGTTTTTTACTAGATGTGTTGAATGACCACCGATCTTCAAGCAGCGATGGCTGGAAATAATGGGAGCCGTAGTCCAATGCACCTGAAGAGGCACCGGATTGGAGAAGACTGTTTCAGTGCAATACTCATCCAGAGGTACCCCCAGGTGAGGTTTTTACTGAACATTTGCCCAGTTTCATTCATGGAATGTAAGGCAGGTGAGGGGTCTAGATATCCATTTGGAATCCTTCCGTGTGCTTTCCCACCACTTCTTCAGCAATTTATGTTGCCAGAAAAAGTTCATTAGGGTGGAAGAGATGGAACAGCTGTTTGTGGCCTTTTGAATGGCAGTCGCACGAGCTGTGTGTCTGTACAGGCACCTCATTTTTGTTTTATAAAGAAAGAGTTGATCTATATTTTACTGTTCCTATAAGAAGGAAGAACAAAAGTTGCAGGAAAAGCCTTCCTTTTTATGTTAATACAAAAGAATCTATGAAATAAATATGCTTCTCTCTCTTCCTTCTTTCCCCCAGCTTTCCATTTCTTACCATGTGTGCTTTTTGTTTAACCACACATGAAGGTCAGAAGGACAAATAAATAATCAAACCAAAAGTTAAAGATCCAGGAAAGAGAAGCAAATAATCTCTGAGCAAATGACGAGTGGCTGTTTAGTCTGATTGTTTAAAAATCAGAGGTGGGCAACTTGTGGCCCTCCAGATGTTACTGGACGGCCATCATCCCTTGCCACTGGCCATGTAGGCTGGGGATGATGGGACTTGTGGTCCAGCAGCATATGGGGGGCCACACATTCCCCACTCAATTTAAACTGTAGGATATTACTGCAGAGAATGAAGATAGTTTGATACTTCCCACTTTTGTTATTTTTAAGGGCTACACAAATGCATCCAAGTGCTGCCTGCATGGAAACACTGCTTCTGTAAACAGTTTTAATAAACTGAATATATATTTTCACTTTTTAATCTGAATTTCACCAAAGTAAATAAACCACATACAAGAGGAAAAATATGCAATTTTCCACAAAAAACAAATCACTTATAATAGGTGTATATAAAATGTATGTCCATAAGCCTATTTAAGTATATGATGGTATAGCTACCAAAAGGAACAGTTGTGCATAAGCTTCAGAAAAGGCAGACCAAATACCTATCCAGCTATTTACCCAACTGCAGCTAGTGTCTAAATACCACTTGTTCAAATATTGAAAACATTGTTAGTTGTTCATTCTATTGTGTCTTAGGAAGTAGACCTTTATAGTGTAGGAGTAACAGCCTTTCAGTTGTCAAAAGGATGTGGAAAATCCACTTATGTTGTCCTTATGAAAAGTTCTATATAGCAGGTAAATAATTAAAAAAAGATGTTGCTGTTGTTATGCCATCAAGTCACCTCCAACTTATTGCAACCTTAGAGTATATATTGTAGTCTTAAATGAAAATTGACTAGAGCCCCCATAAGTGCTTCCAATAAGAAGGGGCTCCCTGAAGTGGTAAAAGTGGTAAGGCCCAATCTAGATTCAAACAAATGTTGCAATTTTGCAAGAATTTTTTTATTGCCATTCAGCCAAAAAATGCAAATTGTATTTGGCATGCAGAGCCAGCAATGACAAAAACTCATCCACAGCACCCACTAATTGACCCAAGGTAAAACTCGGCATGCCTATCTAGTTTAGCCACATGAACATTTTCTTACCTGTTTTAAATCCAAAATTCCCGTATAGTCCATTTAGCATGAAATGGGAGTAATTGATGAGATATTATATGCCAGTTAAATCATATATAACTTTTAAAGAGTACCAACAAAGTTACCTGGGTGTTGGGGTGGGGTGGGAATGTGTTTTTCACCTTGCAGGGAGAGGATGCCCATAACACTTGCAGTCATAACTCACACAGCAGTTTAAGCACCGGGGAAAATGTAATGTGACACGCAAAAATGCATCACCTTCCTGGGGATCTCTGCAACCTCTGGGAAATAAGGGGACTCCCACAGCGTGCTAAAACAGCCTTCCCAACCTTCAGACCTCAGACCATGGAGCCAGCTCCTCTAGCTGGTCCGGCCATGTCTAAAGGTTGCTTCTGAAGCAACACGCCAAGAAGTTATTCCCCATCTATAAGAAAAGGCCAGGATCTATCACTCCTGAAGTCAAGCAGAATTGAAACCAAAGATGCATGTTGTTGTTATTTCTTTGCATTCCCATAAAAGGTTAAATAATCAAAATATGCAACCTAGTTAAGCCCTCCAAACTCCTTAAAAGAACATTCTTCTTCTCCCACACCCAATCAGCCTTCTGCAACCTGATGCCCTCCTGGTGTGTGAGACTACAACACCCAGCATCCTCCGGCCCGCCAGCCAGCCCGGGTGGGGAAGGTGCAACAGGTGCTGGGGAGGCTCTCACCTGAACCTCGGGGTCATTCAGGACGGGCCCGTTCAGGGCCTCGATCCCTTCGTCGTCCAGGGCCAGGCCGTTCGCCAGCGCCTCTTCATACACGTTGCCACCTGCAGGGCGCGTACGAAGAGGAAACGAAAGCTAAGCGCCGCAGCCCGCCCGCCGTGGCCTCGAGATGCCGCTCGGGCTCCGGCTGCCCGGGGACGCTCACGACGGCCGCTGCCCGAGGAGCGGAGCGGCTCCCATTTCCGAAGCGAGCGCTCCCGTCGCGGCTTCCCCTTCTCTGGCTTGCGGACCGGCCGCGGCCGCTGGCGCGCCAGGCCCCGGGGCAAAACGGGACCCGCGAAGCGGCCCACGCGCAAGTCGAAGTCGGAGCCGGAGCAGGAGCCGGAGCCGGAGCCGGAGCCTGGCCGCACCGGGTCGGCGGGCTACACACTCGGCGCCGGCTGCACGCGCAGCGGCAGGCGCGCTTGGCGCTCAGCCCCCTCTGTCGGAAAGATGCGGGACCCCCGCGGCGAGCGGGGCTGCCTCGGGCGGCGTGCGAAGGGAAAGCGGCGTCGAACCGTCCCCGATCCAAATTCACAGACCGCCCCACGTGGGGACCCGTACCTGGTTCCATGGCAGCCCCGCGGCCGCCCGCCCTGAGCTCTTCCTTGTATTACGAAGCAGCGTCAGGAGCAGGGCTTTGCTAACGTGCTTCTGTAAAAAGAGCAGCGGATTCACTTCACTTTTCCGGCTCCACGGTCATGGGCGGGGTGGAGGAGGAAAGGGGGCGAGCTCTTACAGCGGTCAGAATACCAGAGAGGCTGCCCAAGGCAGAGTGCTCGATGGACACGTACAGACGCACAAGGTCCGCTCAACACGTTTTGCTCCCCGACGTGCAGCAGCGAATGGTACCAGCCAAACAGAAAAAGTATCGGACTCGAGGCCAATCGTGATATCGATAAAAACAAGGCAGAACGCCTTGCAAGCCTCTTTCCTCATTCCTGGCAGTAAAACTTCAAACAAGGGTTGTGATCCTTTCATAACACCCAAATTCAATATGCCAAATGGTAGGGCTGGCACCCCACAGAAACTAACACACTTAGCATTCAAATGTCAGTGCACTGATTGTTTGGATCAACTTTTGGATCTTTTGGGTAAAATCTTACCCCCTAATTGGTCAACAGATTTAAGGAAACAAAGCATATCACTTTTCATACAAACATTCCCCCTACCCTTTGACTGACACACAAGAAGGAATGACTCTTTTAACATTATGCTTGCAGCAATACATAACATGCATCACCTGAAAGTGAAATCTGGTCCATGATTCAGAACTATTGTTCTAATTCATTCTATGACAATGCAGCTGATTGATTAATTCCAAACTTCAAACAAGATTTATTCGATTCAGTGAAATTCCTAAGAGAGAAAGGAAGGAAGAATTCAACAAGCTAGAGGAATCCTTAGTGGATACTTTCAACAGTAGTCACCAGTCATCATGACATGATGGCTAATACAGCACCCCCAGGTTCAGTACCAGCAGGTGAGGAACAACCATAGGAGAAGACTGCAGCTGCATGTCCTACCTGTAGGCTTTCCACTGGGGCATCTGGTTGGCCACAATGGGAAACAGGATTCTGTGGCATGAACCACTGATCTTAGCCAACAGGGCTCTTATATGAAGACAGAAATAAGTTAGCCCAGATGGTTTGCAAAATGAATACTGCATATCTGTGAAGATGGATAGGTTGGATAGTGAATGCTCACTTGTACAAATAGAGTCATGGTGGCCAGCCCAGTAATTTCCAGCTCCTGTAGATCCAGATAATGGTAGCAAATTTACTGCATGCCGGCAGAGGTGCTGCCAGGTATGAAGGGGCCCTGGGCAGGGTGCTTTCCAGACCCCCCTTTCCTGCTGCTCCCGCTGCACTTCCAAGGAAAGCCTCAGTTTGCTAGCAACCAACCAGTGCTCCATTTAAATTAAACTGCTTTTGGTTGCTGACTATGAATAACAGCAATACAGATGCTGCCTTGGGGGGTTGACACAGCCATTGTGGGCACTGGAGTGGCAAAGGATAGTTTCTGCCCATTCTGGTGCCTTTCACTGGGTGTGCCACCTCACAGGCAGCAGAATAACATTTTTAAAAACCCTCAATTAAAAACAGTAGCCAGGCTGCAGCCTCAACTGGCTACTCTGTGCCGAAGTAGCACTTGCCTTTCGCAGTGTAGCAGGAGGAGGAGGTGTCCCCACTGCTGCCGCCACCCCTTTCTGCTTACATAGAAGATGGTTGGGGGGCCCTTGGAGCACAGGGCCCTCCACCAGTGCCGGTGGTTCCACTCTGGCAGTGTTACTGCTGATCTGCACCTTCCTTCTGCTGAATACTAAAGCTGGGCATCCCCCAAAGCATAACGTTGCAAGCTAAGCTGCACTGGTCAGTGCTAGTGACTTAGTTTTAAACTGGTATCTGGTGAACACACACCCACTTCCAGATTCATATGCATGCCAGGCCCGTAGCCACATGCCACTGTGGCACCCCTCTTCATCCTTGGCCTGATGAAGCTATGAACGCCAGGCACTTGGCCCATTTCATAGAAACATAGAAACAGAGCAAGTCAGAAGGGGTCTCCTGGGCCATCTAGTCTGACCCCCAGCTCCAGCCAGTTCCACTCGTGACATTTCCTCTCTCTTTTACTTCCTCCCTGGACTCCAGCTTCATTTGAAAGCAATTGTACCCTTCCACCTCATCCCTGGCTGAGAGGAAGGAGAAGTCTCACATAATATTTGCTGCGGGCATAGAAGTGCCCAGCCCACCTGAACTAAGAGGGCACCAGGTTGGCAGAAGTTGATGTGGTGAATAAGGAATGCTTTACGCCTTTGGATCTCAGCTTTTTACAATCCCAACAACCACCTGCATGACTGGCCAGGGTGGAGTGGGGAAAGTCACATTTTTCTAGTTTCATTTTTTCCGCACAACATATTGCCAAGTTCCCTCTTAACTTCTGCTTTTGAGTATCACCCCCACAACTTTCATTTTCAGTTCTGCCTACTATGTAAAGAAGGTTAGAAAGTGTGCATTAAATATGTCCATCAAAACAGTAATACCAAGAAAATCGTGCTGATACTGTCTCACAGCGTCCTTGGTAACGTTGTGCCAATGTGATTATGCTTCCTGATGATGGTCTTTCTATTATGCATGCATGGAAGGCAACCAACATGTGGCAACAACAGAAATACAAGGGTGGCATCACTGAATCCTGTCCACACCTACTTCCGCCCACAATGCACATCTGTGCAAACAGGAAGTATCCAGTGTGCCACTCTTTTAACAGCACCCGCAGGATAGCCATGGCCGTCTTCTCCAGCAAACACAGCCATCTTGGGGGACCTTAAAGACTAAGCAATATATTCTGGCATAAGCGTCCTTGCACTGCAGTGCCCTTCACCATGCATATGGTGAAGTGGGCTACGTTCCACAAAAGCTTTTGCCAGGATACACAAATTTTTATATCAGTGTATATCAGACCAGTTTTGAAATATAAAACAGCTTCTGTGCTGGCCAGAAGGGTAACTCCACTTAGAGTACATTGCCGTAATCCAGGTCTGAGGTGACCAATGCCTGCACCACCCTGGCCAAGCCATCCCTGCCTGGGAAGAGCTGGAAGTACTAAACAAAGATGGGAAAAGGCATTCTGAGCCACCAAGGTCAGTTAGGTCCCAAGCAGTAACTATGACTCTAAGTGTAGGCTTACCTCCAGACCACAAACCTGTTCCTTCAGGGAAAATGAAATCTCATTTAGAACAGGTAATGAGCCTATCTTCTGGACACGGGAACCACTCATTCACAAGGTCTCTGTTTGTTCTTAAGGTTTCACAGGACTTGCCAATTTTTATCATTTATGCAGGAGTAAGCAGGCTTTCACAAGAAATCCCAAGAAGGCTTCCCATGAATGATTTGCTTCCTATGGAAGTACTAATAGTTTCACAGATTCACAGAACAGCTGGGTCGGCAGGGGGCCAGGAAGGCCAGCAAGTCCAATCAGTGGTCCAGGACTCCAGTTACACCATCCTGATCAGATACTTGTCCCATTGCTTCTTCAATGCATCTAGGGCGAGCAAGCACACAAGCTCTCTTGGCAGCTGGTTCCACTCTGGTACTGCTCTCACAGTCAGGACATTCTCCCTCATGTGGGGCCTGCACCCAATGTACTGCAGCTTAAGTCCATTGTTCTGTGTCCTAAAAACTGGGATGAGTGAGGTCTTTTCCTCCTTCTTTATGACAGCCTTTGAGGTACCTGTAGAGTGCGGATATGTCACCTCATAGTTGTCTTTTCTCAAGGCTGAAAAGGCCCAGTTCTTTCAGCCTCTTATCATAAGACTTATTTTCCAGGCTCTGTATCATCTTTGTTGCTCTCCTCTGAACCCTCCCCAGATTATCAGCATACTTTTAAAACCTGAGTGCCCAAAACTGGACACTCAAGTAAGATCTGACTAATGCAGAGTAGAGGGGAATGAGTACTTCTCTATTTCTGGAAGTGATACCTCTATTTATGCACCCCAAAATAGTGTTTGCCTTTTTTGCAGCTGCATCACACTTCAGTCTCATATTTAGCTTGTTGTCTACAATAACTCCAAGGTCTTTTTCTTTTTTAGTGCTGTTGAACCAAGTATTCCCCATCTTGTGTCAATGCAGTTGATTTATTTATTTATTTATTTATTTTGTTCGCCTAGGTGGAGAACTTGGTATTTCTCCCTGTTGAATGTCATTCTGTTGTTTTCTGCTCAGTGTTCAAGCTTGGCTAGGTCTCTTTGGATCTTCTTTTTGTCTTCTGGGGTGTTAGCTATTCCACCTAGTTAAGTATCATTGGCAAATTTAATTATCTTTCCCTGGATTTTCTAATCACGGTTGTTAATAAAGATGTTGAAGAGTACAGGTCCCAGGACTGAGTGCCCCACTAGTGACCTCTCTGCAGCCTGAAAAACTACCATTGATGGCCACTCAACTTGTGTGACTTGGTGTCTATTTTGCAATGAACTGGGAGAGGAATGGAACCAAGGTGATAAGGGAAAACAAACACTATCACTGGAAGATTAGAGAAAGTAATTTGTGAGTTGGTACATCAGCAAGGAAAGGAAATGCAATGGGAAACAAAGGATGTGGGGGTGATTCTGGCCCCTAAAAGACGTAGATATGGCCATTACAGAGTAAAGATTACATTTTGGAGGCCCTGCTGTCAAGAGTAATTTTTGATGGAAAAGGACAAGATAGAAGGGCTAGGATTCAAGCCTGCCACCCCACAGGGAAGCATCCTGATTACAGCCATAGGGAGTGGTGCCATCAGGACAGGACATCTAGAGCCCCACTCAACCGCGTGAGCAGAGGGACCCTCAGCGACAGCAGCCCTGACTTACAACACTGAAGTGAGTTACACGTACTCTGAGACAGTGCCATGGAAAGCTGAGCACAGTGACTGGCGCTTTGATCAAGAGTCTCATTGCAGGCAGCTGTCCCCCGCCCTGCCCACCAAACGTATTCTCAGCCCCCATCCACTTCATGCAGCACCACTGCTTAGTTTCCCTCATCAGATGTAACGATGGGGTGTGGTTGAGGCTTGCTCCATTGGCTTGCTCCATCGGCATGGCTCTTGGATAGGATACAGACTCTGAGCTTAGGACGCGTGCTGTGTGGAAAACCCACTGTCACCTCTCCAAATGAGTGTCTATTGTGAAGACGTCAGAAGTGACTAATGTGTT